ATAGGACCCTCTCAACACTCTTGAGATCCTTCCTAGGAAAGAATCGTAAGGCTTGGGAAGCATGCCTCCCACACAATGAGTTTGCCTACAATAGGACAACTCATGGGTCAACAAGCCTATCTCCTTTTGAGGTGGTATACAGGTACAACCCATTAACCCCTCTTGACATACTTCCATTCCATAATTCATCTCTCTTGAAGCACAAGGCTGACTTTGTCAAGAAGATCCATGAAAAGGTGAAGGCCCAAATTGAGAAGAGGACTGAAAGCTATGCTAGGTCAGCCAACAAGGGGAGAAAGGAGATCATCTTTGAGCCCGGAGATTGGGTTTGGGTTCATATGAGGAAGGAAAGGTTTCCTACACAAAGGAAATCTAAGCTATAACCAAGGGGAGATGGCCTATTTCAATTTTTGGAGAGGATCAACAACAATGCCTACAAGCTGGACCTACTAGGAGAATATGGTAACATTAGTGCTACATTCAATGTGGCTGACTTAAGCTACTTTGATGAAGATTCGAGGACGAATTCTTTCAAAGAAGGAGGGGATGATGAGAGTCCCATCATGGATGACAAGTCCATACAAGGCCTAGGGGGTCCCATGACCCGAGCCAAGGCAAAAAGGGCTAAACTAGCCCTTGAAAGACTCGTGGGCAGAACTGATAGCAACCTCCTTGTGGGGGTTGGTATTTGTTTTCAATCATTTTGTTTGAAGCTTTGACAATAGGAAATATTATGAAATTTTTGGGATATTTTTGGTTGTTTTTCTTGGGTGCTTCGGTTGGCTTAGGCTTATAGTGGTTGGGGTATGTGTTTGGTTTAGTTTCTGGATGAAAGTAGTTAGGGTCGTGTGTTTGGCCGAGAGGACAAGTATTTGGCTGAGTGGTTTTTGGGTTTGGTTTGTTAGGCTATAGTGGCTTAGGATGAGTTTCTGGTCGTGTTGCTTTGTATTTGGGTAAGGGTTTGTGTTTATTTCGGTTTAGGCTGGATAAAAGAAAGGGATGAAGAAGATTGAGATGGTTAAGGGCGCCACAAACAAAGCTGTTTGATAAGCCAATGGAAGTTCACCACAAAGGAATGATCTTTGATATGAACAAGAGACTTGGTTCAACCAAGAAGCTTAGGAGAAAACTCAACTAAGTATTTTTGCATAAAATTCAACTTGTTTCTTTTCATATGATGAAGTTTTACATATATAGCATGGGCTGGCCGTGAGGCTTCCCTCTTAATTCGAAATAAGCAATTTAAATTACAAGTTTAATGTGCTTAAAGTGCCTAATTCAAATGCTTATTCGACCATAATGGATTGGAGTTAAACCAAGCTGAAAACAAGGGATGCTTGTCTCATTCATGTGCGCATTTGGCATGAGGCGGAGAATAAGGTGGTGTCTTGATTTCTTATTTGAATTTCCTCACTCCAAGCTCACGGTTTAAAGACCATTACACTCCTTTAAGTGTTGTTTTGATTGTTGATTCAAAATGCTAATTGGCCTTGATATTTTGGAGTTAAGCCGAGCCAAAGATAAGGATGTATGTCTTGTGCATCCACTTAAGCCGAGGAGTAAAATAAGGTGGCAATTTAATTCCTCTTTTGAATTTGAATTCCCAACATGTGCTAATTGCCTTTTAAGAGCCTTGGCCGTGTTGTAGCTTGTCATTATTCCTTGGGAGGAATATATGGGATGTATGTCTCCTTAATAACTTCCTTTAAGGCCTAGGAGGAAATGGTGGGATGTGCCATCAAGCCTCATTTAAATTCGAAATTCAGCCTTGGTAAATTAGAGTTAAGGCTTGGTTGAAGATAAGGGATGAGTGTTTAAGTCCCATTTGAATTTGAAATTCAGCCTTGAATGCATGCTTTAAAATGAGGCGGAAGATGTGGGATTGGCTTGAAGGCTTTGGCTGAAATAAAGGCACTTTGGCTGAGTCAACAAGGTTGGTTGGCCTTCAAGTGTGACACGACACATGGTGCATCTTGCAGGTCAGAGGCGGAAAATTCAGCGCCTGGTCCAGGTCAGCTGGATCGGTCAGACTTTGGCTTTGGCCTTCAAAAGACTCATTCTCTACAAGGAGGCAATTAATGGGCCTCATTTTGTCACTTGGCTCAAGTAAAGCTTGAAGACTTAGCACAAGTTGGCTAATGGCGCTTTGGGCTTTCTTGGGCCTGGCCCGAGTTATGGGTCCTCTTAGGCACATTTGAACATCCAAGTTGATGGCCCTTGGCGGGTTGCTATCATCCCCTCCTTCTTGGACTGAATTCGACCTCGAATCAAGGCCTTCATTACCTGTTTCAAAGAGAGATAGGTTAGCAACATTAAAACTAGCAATTGGAATATTAATCTTATAAGCATAATTAAGACCCTTGGCATGTTTGATCATGGGTAGGGTCACCTCAAAATACATGGATATGTCAATCCATGGAGGTTCAGGATTAGGTAGGGGCGTGTAAAGCCCTTGAGGTTTACCCTTTGTACTCTTCGGTACGCATAAGCGATTTTCCTTGAAAAGGAAATCCTTGTGCCTATGGGATCCTTCCCCAATAGTACTTACACAATTTTTGTTTAATTCAGCAAAATCAGGCAAGTAAGGTTTGATGAGTCAAATATTACACACTATTAATAACCTTATTTTACCATTGTTAATGATTCTTGGTGTCTAATTGACTTTAGTTGGCATTGTTTAGTGTTTTAGGCTTTATTGGACTATTATTCCTAAAATGAGTTAACTTGGGATTATTTAGCCTAATTAAATCTAATTCCATTTTCAGGACATATTTGGCAGCAAGGACATTTTGGGCATTACAAGTGGAAGATGTGTGCTAAAGTGCAGATTGTATTTAGTTATAGGATTTTTAATTCCGTTTTAGGTTTTGGGCCCATGGTTTAGGGCTCATTTCGGTTTTACCCTTTAATACCTTATGATTTCGTTTTTCACTCATAATTTTACATTACATTTCGTTTTCAACTTGAGGGAGAGAGCAATTTTCGTTTTCCCCCTTTTGGGGTTCTTTTAGGTTTTTGTTTTTCATCTTCTTCCTCCTCCAAATTCGGTTTTGCTTCTTCGTCCATGGGAGGCTAGAGGTTTAGTGCTAAATTCCTTTGGTAATGTATCACACTCTTGAGGTTTAGTGCTTAATGCATTTCAGTTTCTCTTTATTCGTTTAATGCAATTTCGGTTTCTTTATGTTTGAATCTTCTATCCTATTTCAGATTGTGGTTTGCTTAATTCTATGGTTTTGTTGTAGGTTTGTGAACTAATTTTCGCTTAGTCAGTTAGTTCTCTAGCACATAATCGCTTAGCTTATGCGAATCTGTAAATGCTCTATGTTCATGTTGATTTCGCTTAGTTTGAAGCTTAAACATTAGAGTTATGAACAGATTAGGAATTCAATGTTTAGAATATGAAATTGATGCTTTGATTCGTGTGACTTTGTTAACTGTTTGTTGCTTATGTCAATTTCGCTTAGTTAGAGGTTTAGCAATTTAACTGTGAGTTGATCATCACTTAGTTAATCGACTCTCAACAAAGGAACACTGAGAATTTGATTTTGATATATTGAAACCGAGGATTGAGTTGTGAACAAGGAAACCAAAGGGATTTAGCCTCTTTACTATTCTGTTTTCTGTTTGTGTTCTGTTTTAGCTTAATTTCATAGCATAACAACCACTCAAACCCCCATTGTGTGTGTGCGTGTAAGGTGTTTGAACCATTGTGTGAAAGATAATCTTTGGGAAACGACCTAGGAGTCACATCCTAGTACTATACTTAATTGTTATATTATTTGTATCGGGTACGGCCTCGATTAAATTTGGCGCCGTTGCCGGGGATTATCGATTCATACAAAGGTTCTCTGTAGTTTCATAAAGCTTAGTTTAGTGTAGTGTAGTTTAGTTAGTCATTTCTGTAGTGCATTTTTGGTGAAAATTCTGATATTGGTGCAAAAAGCTGTTAATGTGCACTATTCACTGTTCAATGTTCACTATTTGGCCATTTTTCATGTGATTTTGTTTTGCTGGTTTATATAGCTGTGGGTAGAATTTTTGCATGAAATTTTGTTTCCACACTTCTTTCATCCCACATTGAACACCAGAGAAAGCATAACCACTTTCCGAGCTGTAGTTTGTGAGATACAACTTTACGGTGAATAGTGAAGTTTGTCAGCTCCGAACCAAAATTCCGAAAAAACCCTTTTTTACTATTTATTTTTTATTTTTTAAGGTTTATTTTTTATTTTTCAAGGTTTACAGTGAAAGTGTTTTGCATTTTTAACATAGTTAGGCTTTGAATTTTTTCTTGAAACTTTTTGTACATGTTCTATATGATTTTAGGATATTATTGATGCAAATACTTGGTTGATTCTACAATTATAACATGCATTTCCATTACTGTTGCATTACTTTCTTCCTACTATTGACTGTAATGCATGACTAGAAGGAATACAAGCATTTTGCATTCAATAAATCCCAAAATTGATAGAACATATCATAGGTTAGTTAGACAAAATAGGACTTTAGATACTAATTTTGTTTCTGTTTCTGAACATTCTGTTGCTGAAAATACTGCTTTTGAGCATTCTATTGCATTTCCTAATTTTCACCATTCTGTCCATTCTGAAAATATGGCTCAGCCACCTACTCCTCCTGGTCCCCGGGAGAGGACATTAAGGGAGTTGGCTGCCCCTGATTTTACTTATGACAGTTTGTGTATCCAATATGAGGATGTACCATATGTGCTTAAAACTAGACTAATCCATTTGTTGCCTAAGTTTAATGGACTTGTAGGTCAGGATCCTCATAAACATCTTAAGGAGTTCCACATTGTCTGCTCAACCATGAAACCACATGATGTTATGGAGGATCACATTTGTCTAAAGGCCTTTCCTCATTCACTTGAAGGTCCTGCAAAGGACTGGTTGTACTATCTGGCTCCTGGTTCCATCACAAGTTGGGGTGACTTGAAGAGGTCATTCTTGGGTAAATTCTTCCCTGCATCCAGGACCACTGCAATCAGAAAGGATATATCTGGAATTAGGCAACAACATGGTGAGAGCTTGTATTGGGAGAGGTTTAAGAGATTGTGTGCTAGTTGTCCTCATCATCATATCTCTGAGCAACTCCTCCTGCAGTATTTTTATGAGGGTCTGAACAATATGGATAGGAGTATAATTGATGCTGCTAGTGGTGGTGCACTTGGGGACATGACTCCTTTTGAGGCAAGATGTTTGATTGAGAAGATGGCTTCCAATTCTCAACAATTCAATGCAAGGAGTGGTGATGCCATAGTTGTAAGAGGAGTCCATGATGTTGGGACAAATGCAGCAAGGCAAGACAAGCTTGAGACTAAAATTGATTCCCTCACCACCTTGATCACTCAGTTAGCCATAAATCAGCAAAAATCTTCAATGGCAAGAGTATGTGGCATTTGCACCTCAAGTGACCATTATAGTGATACGTGTCCTTCTTTGCTTGAGCCAAGAACTGGTGATCATCCTGAGGCGTATGCTGCAAACATATACAACAAAAGACCTCCACATCAGCAACAACATTATGATCCACCCTCATCAAGCACATACAATCCTGGTTGGAGAAATAAGGCACCATTTCAGAACAATAATGCTGGGCAAAATAGACCATCATATGCGCCCCCACCAATCCAACAACAGAGGCATCAAATGATTAACAATCCTGCACCTAATGAACCCTCTTTGGAAGAATTAGTGAGGCAGATGGCGATGCAGAATATGCAATTCCAACAAGAAACCAGAGCTTCAATTCAAAGACAAGAGTCTTCAATTCAGAATCTAACTACCCAGATGGGGCAGATGGCTACTTCACTAAACACATGGCAGTTACAGAATTCTGACAAGTTACCTTCTCAGACTGTGCATAACCCAAGGAATGTGAGTGCCATCACCCTTAGATCTGGCAAACAGACTGAAGTGCCTACACCTAGAACATATTTTGTTCTTCAAAAAGAACATGATGCATCAAAAAGGAATAAATCTATTTTAGTAGAAAATGAGAACACAACTAGAGAAACTCATGCAAATCAACCTTCCTCAAGTGCTACACAACAACCATTTTCCATTCTTCTTCCATTTCTACAAAAAATCATTCCAACCAAGAAGATGGGGAATATGGAAGAACTGGACAAGGACCTCTTGGATACATTTAGAAAGGTTGAGGTGAACATACCTCTCCTTGATTCCATCAAGCAGATTCCGAGATATGCCAAGTTTTTGAAAGAATTGTGCACTCACAAGAGGAAGCTGAAAGGTAATGAAAGGATCAACATGGGAAGGAATGTTTCTGCCATGATAGGTATGCCTGTTCCTCACATCCCTGAAAAGGGTAAGGACCCAGGTACATTTACTGTACCTTGCATCATATGTAATAGAAAATTTGAAAATGTCATGCTTGATTTATGAGCATCCATTTATGTTATGCCTATGAATGTATTTAAATTCCTTTCACTTGGACCCTTGCAACTTACGGGTGTGGTAATCCAATTAGAAAATAGGAGTACTGCATACCCTGCCGGTTTGGTAGAGGATGTCTTGGTTCGGGTTGATCAACTGATCTTTCCTGCTGATTTTTACATTCTTGATATGGAAGAGGGATCCCCCAGTAACACAATTCCAATTATTTTGGGGAGACCATTCTTGAGAACAGCCCGAACCATGATTGATGTCCATGCTGGAACACTTTCTATGGAATTCGATGATAAAGTGGCCCGGTTTAATATATTTGATGCTTTAAAGCATCCATCCGAGGGCCACTCTGTTTTCCACCTTGATTTGATTCATGAGTTCAATGATACACACCTTTCTAATTTTCTTCATGATTTTCATGCTCCATCATTTACTGATCCATCCACTTGTCATGCATGCACTAATTATGAAACATGTAGTTTTTGCATTGATGAGTTTTTGAATATTGATATTGATGTTCCTTGCACTTCATTCTACACTTGCCATGCATGCACTGATTCTGAGTTATGTGACTCTTGTATTGATGAGTTTCTTAATATTGTTGTTGATTCTCCTGTTACACATTCACATTGCACTAACGCAATTGATGCAAGAATCAGACAACAATCTAATTTATTTGTTCTGGTGCAGGCTGCAACAAAGCCTAGCTTTGCTACTTTCTTTCCATCTGTTTTGAAGGCACCTGATTGGACACCCCCATTTGACCTTGAGTGCGAGATTGCTGTTTATGCTTTGGGGACTGTCCTTGCTAGTTATGAGTTTGATTTCCTCCCTCCATGATTAAGGGAGTTTTTTTTTCTTTCTCTCCTTCCTTACTATTGCACTTGTCCAATTACAATTTCTAATATAACTGCGTGGATATTCTGGCTGTGTTCCATTGGGACAATGTGTAGTTTAAGTGTGGGGGGGGGGAGACTAATGTAGGTTTATGTTGATGCATGCTTTTCTTTGATTCTTAGATTTTGCTTAGATTTTGGGCATTTTCTCTCATGCTTTGTTTTAGTTGATTCTTGATATTGTGTTATGAATCCATGCATTTTCTGTGTGCTAAGTTACTTTTGAGAATTGAGAGGTTTAGGGAATTGTGATAGTCTTATCCCTTGTGAGATTTTGAGCCTTAATTGAGGATGGATTGATGTATGCCATCTAGTATTCTTTCATGTGTGATTGTTGCACTCTTGATTACTTGCACTCTAGAACTTGACATGTTTCTTGTTGATACTTGATTTTCATATTGCACATTTTGAAGTGATTTAGGCATTTCTTTTGAATAAGCCACATGCCATATAGCCTACCTTGAATGAAATTATCCTTTTGCTAGCCCCTTTGAGCCTTTTTACCCATTTCTTTGTTATATAGCTCATTACAAGCCTATAAGTGAAAAACCATGATTATCCTAACTTTAGGGAATTTTGGAGCTTTGGAATTGTTTTGGGAATGAGTATTAAAGTAAGGGTGCATTGTTCTTCATTTCTTATAATTTTTGGGTATGACTCATGGGTTGGTTAATACATTTTTGTACATAAGTGTGGTGTATTGAAAAACAAAAAAAATAGCAAAAAGAAAAGCAACAAAAAAAGAAACAAAACAAAAGAAAAACAACAAAAAATTATAAAAAAAAGTGAATAAAAGTTGAGTGTGACAAAGAGGATTGGAATTTGAGTTTGAAGTTGGGGTTGATTTTGTCTTACTTTTTAGTTATTCCTCATTGTTCCTCTATTCCCTTGGTTTTAAGCTACATATTCCATAATTTATCCTACCTTGTCCTTGGCCCCATTACAACCTTGAAAAGTCCTTTTGATCACTATGTGCATGTGTTGGTCATGTTGATTTCAGAAACTTATCAAGCTTATGGTTGTGTTTGTTTTCATGAAGTGCCTTGAGTGTAAATACTTATGACCTAAGACACATGAGTGTCAACACTTTAGAGAGCATATCTTGTGAGGATCTATCATTATTGTGACTCACCTCTTGATTTGATTGGTTTCTTCGCATGTTTGAATTGATTTGATGATCTACATGGATATCTTGATTCTTGATCTTTTGATTCTAGTGTGTTTGATTTTGCTCATCTCTTTGTATCTCTTAGAATTCATTGTGAAGTATGCCATCTTTAGGATAGCATTATTTCTTGATTTTGCCCAGGAGTGCAAAAGGTTAAGTGTGGGGGTATTTGATGAGTCATATATTACACACTATTAATAACCTTATTTTACCATTGTTAATGATTTTTAGTGTCTAATTGACTTTATTTGGCATTGTTTAGTGTTTTAGGCTTTATTGGACTATTATTCCTAAAATGAGTTAATTTGGGATTATTTAGCCTAATTAAATCAAATTCCATTTTCAGGACATATTTGGCACCAAGGACATTCTGGGCATTACAAGTGGAAGATGTGTGCTAAAGTGAAGATTGTATTTAGTTATAGGATTTTTAATTCCGTTTTAGGTTTTGGGCCCATGGTTTAGGGCTCATTTCGGTTTTACCCTTTAATACCTTATGATTTCGTTTTTCACTCATAATTTTACATTACATTTCGTTTTCAACTTGAGGGAGAGAGCAATTTTCGTTTTCCCCCTTTTGGGGTTCTTTTAGGTTTTCGTTTTTCATCTTCTTCCTCCTCCAAATTCGGTTTTGTTTCTTCGTCCATGGGAGGCTAGAGGTTTAGTGCTAAATTCCTTTGGTAATGTATCACACTCTTGAGGTTTAGTGCTTAATGCATTTCAGTTTCTCTTTATTCGTTTAATGCAATTTCGGTTTCTTTATGTTTGAATCTTCTATCCTATTTCAGATTGTGGTTTGCTTAATTCTATGGTTTTGTTGTAGGTTTGTGAACTAATTTTCGCTTAGTCAGTTAGTTCTCTAGCACATAATCGCTTAGTTTATGTGAATCTGTAAATGCTCTATGTTTATGTGGATTTCGCTTAGTTTGAAGTTTAGACATTAGAGTTATGAACAGATTAGGAATTCAATGTTTCGATTCAGAAATTGATGCTTTGATTCGTGTGACTTTGTTAACTGTTTGTCGCTTATGCCAATTTCGCTTAGTTAGAGGTTTAACAATTTAATTGTGAATTGATCATCGCTTAGTTAATTGACTCTCAACAAAGGAACACTGAGAATCTGATTTTGATATATTGAAACCGAGGATTGAGTTGTGAACGAGGAAACCAAAGGGATTTATCTGTTAGGTATCAATGGTTACAATACACCTAGAAGGGGGGGGGGGGGGGGGGTTGAGTAGGTGTAGCGGTTAGAATATCCGCTTTTCGAAAAACAACACTTAATGCTGAAATACACCTAATTAATCGATTAACAGAACAGGGTAATCGATTAACACAATCAACACAACCGACTTAATCGATTAGAAGAATGAGTGTAATCGATTAACACACTTGACTTAATCGATTAAATAGAAGCAGTAAGCTTAGGCAGATACGATTACTTGCACGACAATTAATCGATAACAAAACGAGTTTACAAAGCTTACAGGTTTATCAGAGTATTAACAGTATAGCACAAAAACATATTAGCTATTAAATCTACTATACAAGTTAACCGATTAAATGCAATAAAGAGAGAGAGAAAGAAAAATCCTGCAACACGAATTTT